ATAGTATTTTTATGTTACATTAATCAGTATTTAGCACACCTTACTTAGGAAAGGATATGGATCAGACGACATTGCAATTACTAAATTATATTTAGACAGACTTAAAGAAGTTCCAGATCTATACTTGTGCCATTATTATTTCAGTTATTTTGCCTTTAATGTAAATAAACATGTGCAAACAATATACTTGCTCTTAATTACATTGTGCGAGCTGTCTCTTTAATACCGCGTGGTTTACATACATGTTGCTGCTGATTGGGCTGACATGTTTGACACACTCACCAAACAAGAGAAAACCCATCTCAAACCCCGTTGCACACCGTTTCCAGGAGATATGTCGTTCAAACTGGAAACCGTAGCAAAACGGTGCACACCGGTTTGAGCTTGAACTTGCCCCAGGTTTGTGTTTTTTATTTGAATATTAGGAACTAATGAGAATCACCCAGTTGCACAAGCTCTTTCTCATGTAAGTCTGGAGAATCGTGAGTGTTAATGAAGAGGGAGGAGCTATAGTCTATTAGCTGAAATCTGTAGAGTACAAAAAGACCAAAGCAGAGTGTCTCAGCTGTGTACCTAGGTGTTGAACAATGGCGGGAGGTTGGTGTATTGTTGCAGAAAAGCTAGTTCATGCATTTGATGCAGAAAAGCTAGTTCATGCATTCATGACCTCTAGACTGGACTATTGTAATGCACTGCTAGGTGGTTGTCCTGCATCTTCAATAAACAAGCTACAGGTAGTCCAAAATGCAGCGGCTAGAGTCCTTACCAGGTCAAGAAAATATGATCATATTACCCCAATTTTACAGTCTCTGCACTGGCTACCTATTAAGTTCCGTATCAGTTACAAAATATTATTACTTGCCTATAAGGCCCTTAATGGGTTAGCTCCTGCGTACCTAACTAGTCTTCTACCACGCTACAATCCATCACGCTCCCTAAGGTCGCAGAACTCTGGACTTTTGGTAGTACCTAGGATAGCAAAGTCCACTAAAGGAGGTAGAGCTTTTTCGCATTTGGCTCCCAAACTCTGGAATAGCCTTCCTGATAACGTTCGGGGTTCAGACACACTCTCTCTGTTTAAATCTAGATTAAAGACACATCTCTTTGGCCAAGCATTCAAATAATGCATCTCATAATCTTTTACTGCAGTTATATCTAATCAAATGCACATTATTATTCTTTAGTTTGGGTTAAACAAATAAATTTTGCTTGGTTGGAAAGTTTAACATCGGTTTAACATCCCGTGGTAACTAGGATTTACACAAGCTTCAGTCTGGATCCAGAACACAACTGAGTCTGGATTCGGTACGTCTACTGGGTGGAAATCACCCACCTTGCGCTCCTGTGGAGTCCACACCTTACTTTGCTATATACCAGTTCCCTGTGACCGCATGTGGCACGAGCATGATGGTGAGCAGCTGCTTCTGGTTTTATTCTGCATTGCTTATGATGGACTGGATGCTGACACTGTTCTTGTTCACAGGAGGACAGTGGATATGTGGTGTATGAGAATAGAATGACCTCCTCGTATGAAGTGGGGATTGGACCGTTTGGTTCCATCACAAGGGACAGTCACTTTGAGTAGGTGATCTATGACTTGGAATGACTGTTAATCTCTGATAAATGCTACAAGCTCACCGTCTGTTGTCCAGGTTTCTCTTCCAGTGTAGGTACTCTGGAACTTCTGTTGAAGCTCTGGTTGTGGAGGTCAACTCTGTTCCTCCATCTCCACCAGTAGCTGCTCCTGGACCTCTCAGGGTGGAGCTCAGACTGGTCAATGTGTCACCAAAGGGTGTGCAGAAGGTAAGGTCTTGTCCTGTAATGCTAAAGCCTTTCAAGCTCCAGCAGCTTGTTTAAACCCCTGTGTTCTTCAGGGGATGAGGCCTACACATCCTACTTCAGTGACGCTGATTATCCCGTCACAAAAGTCCTGCGAGAGCTTGTGTATGTTGAGGTGCACATTATGGAGAGGTCTGACCCCAACATTGTCCTGATGCTGGGACGTTGTTGGGCAACATCAACCCCCAGTCCACTCATTCTCCCCCAGTGGGACCTTCTGATCGATGGGTGAGTAATGCCAGTCTTTATCCAGTTAGTCTGCTGGGAGACTTTCTAACTATCTGTATCCGTATGCTCTCTAACTCTTCCTGAACCCTTAATATTACACCATTTTATTTCTTAAATGGATTTTATGGTTCAACCTTTTCCTCCTGTCAGATCTTTATCCACTGCAGTCCAGAGGTGTGCCATCCCTCTTCTGGCTCCTGTGAGCAAAGCTGCACCAGGAAACGTGAGTACTTGCTGTAACTTGACTTGATGAACTGAGTGTTTTTGAAATGCCCCTCACGCTTTTACCAACTTTTCCTGCAGGGAGAGACACTCATGCCAAGACCATCTCGAGTGGAACGACAGTGGTTTCTAGTGGAGAAGTTACTCTGGTCATGTGAATTCGGTGGGTTTTAATAAACCATGAAACTTCAAGATTCTTGTTTCTCTGGCTTTTGAGTCTCAAACACGGTTTAGTTTAAAGGGACACTCTACTTAACTGGAGCTCCGTTCTCCGTTTGCTTTAGCTACGTCTCATTCTTACCAAAGTGACCTCTCGTTAAAGCGGCGCATCTACAAAACGTAATTGGGCTAACTGCTTAAGCTCTAATGGTAGACCTAGCGCCCCCCCCCCACTCAAATTGTCTAAATGCCTGATGAAAATCAAGGATATGACTGAGTGTTCCAACTCCGTGCTATCTGGCTAGTGTTAATCCATTCCTGCTTCCTGGCTGGTGTTCAGTGATGGTCAGTCATGACCCAAGCCCCTTTTGAGTGTTTAAATCTTAAGGTATTCAATGATACAATCTGATCGTAGTTACATTCCATGATTACAGATGTATGTTAAACTAAACACAAACGGAACATACAAGCACAAACATATGGAACAAAACCCCCCCTTACCTCCCTCCCCACCCTAGGGACTTGAATCATGCCACTAATGGTGCAGTTAAGACCGCCTGATTACTCTGTCTGCATTATCAAGATATAGGAGAAGAGACCAAAGTTATCCCGTTTATTTACCAATGGGAATCAAATTTTTTTTTTTTCCAATGTGGTACCTTAAGTTCTTACAAGCAAAGTTTAGCCTATGGGGTTTGTCCTTTTCCAAAACTTTTTAGTATATTTGCCACAAGTCCATAGGATGGCAACTGTTGAGATTAAGTGACATGATTTTATCAGAAATTCCAATTATCACAAGAAGTGGGTCGTGGGTCAGGCTCATGTAAAATCTGACAGCTTTAAATACTTCAGTCCCGAATGAGTAACTTGGAACAAAAAACATAACTTGTCACAAAATAGGTAGACACATGGAAAGTGTTTGTAATTTTGTTTTGGTATAATGGAGTCAATGGATAATTTTAAGTTGAATAATACTATGCCTAGAGTTGACAGGCATAATCTGCAAATATCCAAAAAAGTTACTTGCATGCAATACATATTGATTCTGCAGCTGTCTAAAGGAGGCAAAAGTGCCTTTTATGAATAGGTTTCCAATAGTCTGAAGACCCAAGTCCCTCCACTTTGTAAAAGCAGCATCCATTGTAGAAGGGATAAATTAAGGGTTCCCGCTGATTGGTAAAAGGAAAGACAATGGCTTTATTGCACATTTTGATTTGATCTGCTTCCAAATATGAATTGTACTATGAATTATACAGTTATGGTTATATACTGACTTGTCTATCTTTATAGGAGACCGTATGACTACACCAATATCATATGGTCTACATGCCTCTCTTTCCATTTGGATCTAAGTTGAGTGTGCTAC